CAGGGGCAACTCTGGGCTGGCCTACCCGATGTCTTGTTCATCCGGTGTGCCCTGAGAACGAGATATGTGCAGCTCCTATCGGGATTTGTCGGCACATCTGGGTGGTGTTGCTGGATTTGTTTTAACTTGTCGAAGTGTCTTGAAGAACCGGGATACCGAGTCTGATCGGAATGTCTCGGGAGGAGGTATATTCCTTCGTTGACCGTGAGAGCTTGTCATGGGCTAAGTTGGGACACCCCTGCAGGGATTTGAACTTTTCAAAGCTGTGCCCGCGATTATGGGCAGATGGGAATTTGTTAATGTCCGGTTGTAGAAAACCTGAAGTTGACCTTAATTAAAATGCATCAACCGCGTGTGTAACCGTGATGGTCTCTTTCCGGCGAAGTCCGGGAAGTGAACACGGTGTTGGAGTTATGTTTGACGTAGGTTGTTCTAGGATCACTTCTTGATCATGCTTTTATCGACCGTGTTTTGCCTTCTCTTCTCGCTCTCATTTGCGTATGTTAGCCACCATATATGCTAGTCGCTTGCTGCAGCTCCACCTCATACCTTTTTACCTTACCCATAAGCTTAAATAGTCTTGATCGCGAGGGTGCGAGATTGCTGAGTCCCCATGGCTCACAGATACTTCCAAAACCAGCTTGCAGGTGCCGATGAACCGTGCAGATGCACAACCAAGCTCGGGAGGAGCTCGACAAAGATCTTGTCCTTTGTGTTGTTTTGTTCTAGTTGATCAGTAGTGGAGCCCAGTTGGGGTCGATCGGGGACCTTGTCGCATTTGGGATTGTTCTTTTATTTTGGTTCCGTAGTCGGACCTTGATTGTACTTGGATGTTGTAATGATTTATTCATGTAATTGTGTGAAGTGGCAATTGTAAGCCAACTATGTATCTTTTTCCCTTATGTATTACATGGGTTGTGTGAAGATTACCTCACTTGCGACATTGCTTTCAATGCGGTTATGCCTCTAAGTCGTGCTTCGACACGTGGGAGATATAGCCGCATCGAGGGCATTACAGATGTTTAGTGGATTTTCAGGTACCTTCGTGGCACTTCCAATGCTTGTTTGAAATTCGGCAGAACTGGTGAGGGACTAGCTAGCTATGTGGATTCAGATTTTGCTTCCAGCGATTTGGACAAGAGGAGGTCCCTTACAAGCTATGTGTTCACAATTGGTGGTTGCGCCGTGAGTTGGAGGGCAGCGTTTCAGCCAGTAGTTGCCCAGTCTACCACTAAAGCAGAATACATGGCTATTGCAGAAGCATGTAAAGAATCAGTTTGGCTGAAAGGTTTGTATCCTGACCTTTGTGGAGATAATTATTGCATTAACTTATTTTGTGTCACTCAGAGTGCCATATACCTGACTAAGGATCAGATGTTTCATGAGAGAACAAAGCACATTTATGTCAAATATCATTATGTCTGAGACATTGTTGAGTAAGGTAAACTGAGGGTATGCAGGATTAGTACTCATGATAATCCTGCTGATATGTTGACAAAGCCAGTTCCTGTTGCTGAGTTTGAGCTTTGCTCAGACTTAGTTGGTATAACTCATTAGCCCTAGTGGTTGTTTGGCGCCAAAAGTGTTTTCTTTGTTGTTCAGGGAGGAGGTTCTCATTCATGCTACATGATGGAATTTGTCTCAAGGTGGAGTTTGTTATGTTATGCTTCAAATTCAAGTATAAAGAGGGAGGCTAACTTCTACGAGCGAGCGGAGCGAGGCCCGTCGCCGGTAGGCTTAGGACGAAGCGGAGCGTAGCGAGTCTGAAGTTAGCCCATGGGCCACCCTCGACAGGGATGCCTGGGGGTGCGGGGGGGGGGGCGAAGCCCCCCGCGGTACGAATCAGTATTAACCTAGGTCACATGTGTTATATATACCTCTTGTAAGCCGCTGCACAGGATAGTTGATTAGTTGCAAATCCCCAACGTTTGTAACCTACCCCAATATAGTGAAGTTTGGCTGGCTGGCGCCTGTGTTTTTCCCCTTCGTGTTGAAGGGGTTTTCCACGCTAAAATCTCATGTCCCTCGCTTGTTTTCGTTCTTTGTCGTTTTGATTGTGTGTCGTATCTCTAACACGATTGGTGTATGAGTTAGATGAGACTTTGTTAATCCTCAGGGAATTAGCAAATCCGACCTATAATACTCTCACACTTTAGTTTTATTTATGTTAGGTATTTATGTAGCACCTAATTGCGCATTTATTTTAACAAGATTACCTCAACAATGCATGGGGTATCATCTCTTATCCCATGTTGCTAGCCTATAATGGCCCAATCAGTTAGACAGTTCAATCCAGAAATGCAGGTCCCATTTGTACAAACTGATCCACAACTTCTGAAAACGCATCTGGGTAATGTAATGGAGAACAAACCAGTGTTGGACCATTGACCTAAAGAAAGAGAAATGAGACAGTAGGAATAATAGGTGGCATGTGCTCCCTTTGACAAACATCTTCATTGGTCTCATAGCCAATTATTATGAATTGGATAATATACACAAACTTCCATTGCATTATACCCCATTTTATGGTACACAAAATTATTGACCTGTCATGACCCTGCTGGACCATCTAGAGATGGTATCCTATGATCACTAAATCCCTACGGAAGGAAACAACATTTGTACCCAGAGAGCGTGCACCTAGCAAAACGACACACCCCCTTGCACTCACCTCAAAAGTGAATAAGGACACATACATAATTTCTACGCGTCCCCTAAAGTACACAAGGTTGCATTGTCAACATCGCACCGCTAGTGGGCCCGCCAAGTCGCCTGAGGCTAAACTATCCGTCCCGGTTGTTGAGTAGGCCCAGGGAACCTGAACTCGCTCGGGCCTGGACCTGGGCCTGGGTTTGGACCGGCCTGGTGAGAGCCATAAGTTTGGTGGGTGAGATGGGCTTCTTCGCATCGGCCCGCTCTGCATTCCCGGCCTTCCGCGCGTCGGGGCCGTCGTCGTGCCGGATGCCGCGTAGCAGCGCCGCCACGTCCTTGATGGTCGGCCGGTCCTCGGGGCGCGGGCTGGCGCAGAGCAGCGCGATGCCGAGGGCTTGCAGCATCTCCTGGACCTGCGTGTCCGGCCGGCCTTGCAGCCTCGCGTCCACGATCTCCGCCGGGTCGCGCTTCCGGCACAGGTGGTCGCGCACCCACTGCACCACACTCTGCCCCTCGCCGAACGCCGGGTCCAGCGTGCGCCGCCCCGTGATCATCTCCAGCAGCACCACGCCGAAGCTGTACACGTCGCTCTTGGTTGTGATCTTGGTCATGCAGCCGTACTCTGCATCAAATCATGACGACAAATGTTAATCCGGTAGTACATCTGGAGAATGAATTTTAACTGAGTAGCAGAGTTGGAATTGCCGTGATTTTTTGAAGGGACGGCGGAATGCTTACCGGGAGCGATGTAGCCGTAGGATCCGGCGAACGGCGGAGGCGACGAGTTGGCGCCGTCATCGGCGACTCGTGCCAGGCCGAAGTCGGCGAGGCAAGCCTCGTAGCGGTCGCCGAGGAGGATGTTGTCGGCCTTGACGTCACGGTGGATGATCCCCGGCACGCAGTCGTGGTGGAGGTAAGCGAGGCCCTCGGCCACGCCCACGGCGATCGCGAGCCGCACCTCCCACTCCACGACGGCGGCGCCGGTCGCGCCCCCGTGCAGAAGGCCGCCGAGAGTGCCGTTCGGGAGGTAGTCGTAGAAGAGGAGTCGCGTCCGGCGGTTGGACGCCCATCCCAGCAGCCGGACGATGTTGCGGTGGCGCACCCGGGGCAGCACGCTGATCTCGCACGCGAACGCCTCCACGGACGCCTCGTCGCATGACTGGAATTTCTTCACGGCGACCGTGACGCCGGACGACGGGATGTTGGCACGGTACACCGCGCCGGACCACCCGTGTCCGATCACGTTCGCCGGAGTGAGGCTGCGGGCCACGTCGGCCACGCCGATGTCCAGCTTCTGGTACAGCGTCACGTCCCACGGCGGCGACATCTCGGCGTCCTTGTCCTCGCTGGCACGCTCGCCGCGCCGGCGCCACCCGAACAGGACGAGCACCGCGGCCACCAGGAGGACGACGAGGGCGGTGAGCAGCACGGCCATCGCGACACGGGCGGCGCGGCGTGCCTCGAGCTCACTGTCGCCGACGTCGCCAGAGCACCGCGAGAGACACAGCGCCTGGTTGCCCTCGACGTCGCCGGTCGGGAGCTTCGCGAAGAACGCCGTCTCTGGAAGCCGGCCGGAGAAGCTGTTGAAGGACACGTTGAGCGCCACGAGGTTCTGGAGCGCGGACAGCGCCTGGAGATCGCCGGAGAGCTGGTTGTGTGACACGTCGAGCACCCCAAGCCTCACGAGCCCTGCGAACTCCGATGGCATCGAGCCGGAGAAGCTGTTGCAGCTGAGGTTAAGGGCGATCTCCAATCCCGGAATCTTGCCGATGCTCCCCGGAATGTGACCGGAGAGCGAGTTGCCGCCGACGTCTAGGAGCTGGAGGCGGGAGCACGAGCCGATCTCCGGTGGCATCGCTCCGGATAGCCGGTTGCCGCTGAGAATGAGCTTTGTCAACGAAGTGAGTAGGCCGATGTCGGACGGGAGCGCGCCGGAGATGTCATTGTAGGAGAGGTCGAGGTACTGGAGCGAGAGCAATTCCTTGAAGAGTCCTGCCGGCAGCATGCCGGCGATGGCATTGTCGTGGAGGTCGACGAACGTGAGGTTCCGGCATCCCGACAACTCCGTGGGGAGAGCACCGGACAGCCGGTTGGAGCCCAGGTCCAGGAAGCTGAGGCTCCCAAGCATGCCGATTTCTGGGGGTATCGCGCCGGCGATGTGGTTGCCGCTTGCCCGGAACCGGTCGAGGGACGTGCAATTGCCAATCTCCGCTGGCAACTGGCCGGAGAGTTCGTTGTTGATGAGGAGCAGCTTGGACAGCCGTGGAAGCTGGAAGAGCGACGGTGGGATCGGCCCGGTCAGAGCATTAGTCGACAGGTCGAGCGCCTCGAGGCTAGTGCACCGGCCGAGCTCCGGCGGGATGTTTCCGGTCAGCTGGTTGGCCCACAGGTAAAGCATGCGCAACGCCGGGAGGCCGCCAAGCTCGGCGGGGATGGCGCCCGTGATCTGGTTGTTGTCGAGCTCGAGGTCTGTGAGGTTGCTGCACCGGGCCAGCTCCGGCGGCACCGTGCCGGAGATCTTGTTCCCGCTGAGCTGCAACTCCTGCAGCGACAAGAGTTTCCCGAGCGACGCCGGGATGTGGCCGGTGAGCCCGTTGATCGACAGGTCGATCACCGCGAGCTCGCTGCACGAGCCGAGCTCCGGCGGGATGATGCCGACGAGCTGGTTCTGCCACAGCAGCAGGTTCTTGAGCTTCTTGAGCGCGCCGAGCTCCGCCGGGATGGACCCGGATAGCGCGTTCTCGTAGAGGTAGATGTTCTCCAGGCTGCTGCACCGGCCGAGCTCTCTGGGTATCGGGCCAGAGAGCAGCGCCGTGTAGATGGCCAGCGTGGTGAGGTTCTTGAGGCGGCCGAGGCTCGCAGGGAGCGGGCCGGTGATGCTGGTCTCGGCGAGGCCGACCATGGTGAGCCTGGAGCAGCTTCCAATCTCCGTGGGGAGCGCGCCGTGGAGGTTCTTGTTGCCGCCGCCGCGGAGCACCTCGAGGCTGGCCATGCGGCCAATGGCGGCCGGAATCCTGCCGCCGAGCTGGTTGTCGTAGACGATGAGCTCCCGGAGCGACGTGAGGTTGCCGATGGCGTCCGGGATGGCGCCCTCCAGCCGGTTGGAGTTGAGGTAGAGCGTCTCGAGCTTGCTCCCCGTCCGGCACAGCCCGGACGGTATCGACCCGGTGAGCGCATTGTTGCTGAGGTCAAGGTGCGCCAGCGCGGGCAGCGCGCCGAGCTCCGGCGGGATCGGGCCCGTCAGGTTCGTGCCGGTGAGGACAAGCCGGGTCAGCGTGGCGCCGACGGCGCCGGCCAGGTTGGCCGGGACGCCGCCGAGGAGGTCGACAAACTCCAGGCGCAGCTCGGTGACGCCGCCGTCGGCATTGCACGCCACGCCGGTCCACCGGCACGGCGAGGCGTCCGCGGCCTTCCAGTCCGCCAGCGCGCCAACCCCGTTGCGCAGCGTCGCCTTCCACGCGAGCAGCGCGGCGCCCTGCTCGTCCACGGCGGCGACGACGGCGCTGCCCACGCACAGCATGACAAGCGCGCAGCGCCTGACGAGCGCCGCCGCCCACCATTTGCTCCGCCTACCCATGACAGCAACGCTAGCTTGTCTGCAGTCGTACCATGCAACTACCGAAGTACAAGTATATGCAAGAACATGAGTACAAGGTAGTAGTGGTAGCTAACTCTATAGAATTGTGTGGTCTAGAGGTGTTAATTGGAGCCAAATCTTGGTCTTGCTTATGTTGCAAGCCTAGCAGTAGTAACTAATTAATGGAGTGGCGAAGAGGTTTAGCATAAGTAGAGAGAGAGTGAGAGAGAGGGGAGGGGGAGGTTAAAGAGGAGAGAGTATTTGGGGTTGATGAGACCAGCATGGGGGAAGGCCACCTTTGTACCTGCAGAATCTCTGGATCCGAGGCAACAGTGCACACTACCACACCCTGTCCCTCTCCCGGTCTCTCCTTGGAAATTGTTCAACTTCAGATGCCTCTACTCCTGAATTATCACCGCCTTCAAAAAAAATTGTTCACAGTCACCATTGTGAGTGGCCATTGGTGGTTAAGTGTATTTAAATTTGTTACTACAGGCATCAGATCACCAACGTCTAATTGCTTTGCGATGCCAAGCTGGTGAACTAATTTTATTTTATTTTAACGGCGGTAACACCTTTGCTAGCAGCCAGGAGAAAGAAAAGATGGCATCTGGGTGGGCAGCTTCATCATGGAAAGGGTGTGTCTCAGCTCTCAAGGATGATAATATTGAATAACAAGCACTTCACAGCCTACAACTTGGATTGGTTACTACTTAACAGTTTGTGGTTAGGGACCTTGGTGTAATTTTGGGTTCTAAAGTGTGGCAATTGCAGTGCTAGTAGTGAGACCTGGGAAGAGCATCCACAGTCCAACAGTTTGAAATAAATTGAATTGGGGGTTCTTCCTCTACATGGATGGTACAAGTAAATCATCTCCCTATTTAAGTCTCCAAGAAATCCCTACACAAAGATTGGAGATTAAGTACACAAGGAGATACTACCACTACAGCAGTAACAAAAAGATTCTGAATAATGATTCTTGCGTGACATATATCTCTACTCTTAAAAAGTGAGTTGGTAGCCTCCCCTTCATGGTTTATTTTCGCCTGATTTTTTTTCTTGTCACCTCCTACCACCCCTTTTCACTAGATTTTCTCCCTCCCATTAAAAACCAAATCCCATTAAAGAGAAAGATCATGTTTCATGCTTGCTTTGGTAATTAAGAATTTAAAAATAATACCATATATTTGAGATCACTTTCTAAAAGACAGACATAAGATTTTTCTCGATAACTTTAAAAAAATCAGATATGCCTTAATAATAAATCGCTAATCCCGCGCACTATGTCATTTATTATTATCATTATCTCTACTGTTAATTAATAATCATAACTTTCCTAATACAACAAAAATAACATAGTCCCTCCATTCCTAAATATATGGTGTATAGTTTTTGGCATGGAAATTAAAGAATGCACATGGAGGGAAAATTTCACAAGTTTTGGGCAAGACTACACCTGACTAATTATATGAGAAAATAGAGGAGCTTGCCCTATGTAAGGAAATGTAATCAAATCCCTTAAAAAGTTATTCAAATGAGTGGTGCAAGGCAATACACCTTATATTTTGAACTTTTTCTCAAAAATCTATACACCTTATATCAAGGAACGGAGGGCGTATCTTCTTTTGTTATGAGCGCATCTGTGCACCTCTGCGGAGGGACGCCGTGCGCTACACCATGGAGGACGTCGTGGCCTGACGCTGTCGCCTGGCGCGATGCTTGGCAATGCTAGGGTGTGGATAACGGAGTCGAGGATGGCCATGGCGGAAGGTGGGTCGTTGGACCACCACATACATGCATTTGTGGATGCGATCATATTATATATTTTTTGTTAGTCATGCAAATAGCCAAACAAGCTATATTCTCAAATCAAGTATGTCCATTCAAATGTCAAAAACTCCGTTAAGGAAATCTTTCCTACAATACTCAGTAGTCGTCGTCGTAGTTTGTAGCCGCCATTCGTGCGAAAATATTTTGGAAATCGAACATTGAATCAATTCAAAAATCAAACCATCAATGGAATTAATTAGCTAGAGAGTTAATTACGTATGCAATTGATTAGGCCATTTAAATAGGATTTTTTAACCGAATCAATTTGGAAACCGAGTCAGCAATTATCTCTACTCCTAAAAGGGAAGTTGGTAGCCTTCCCTCCCCGGTTTATTTTCGTCTGTCTATTTTTCGTCTCACCTCACATCACACTTCCCAAAGGATTTTCTCTCCAATCAAAAACCAAATCCAATTAAAGGGGGAATCATATAAATAATAGGTAATTAAAAATTCAAAAATCACACCAAATATTTGAGATCACCTTCCTAAAAGACAGACATAAAATTTTTCTCGATAATTTTCCAAAACAAAATTAGATATTTCTCAATAACAAATCGCTAATCCCGCGCACTATGTCATTTATTATTATCATTATCTTTACTATTAATTGACAATCACAAGTTTTCAAATATACAAAATGACATGTCTTTTTTGTTATGAGCGTATGCATCCGCGCGTCCCTGCGAAGGGACACCGTGCGCGACACCATGGAGGCTATGAGTAGAAGATGTAGGGAATGACTGGGAAGAGAAGAACGACAATTATCCATCTAGTAATGAATGGTATATTTGCTGGAGGTGAAGCTTATTGGTGACGGAGAATACGTTCAAGTTGTCACTCGCCTCCCACGTCAGTGTGCATTTGCAAAGTTGAATGGACCTTTGAGAACGATATCTATAGTTATTATTTGTTTTGTGTCAATAGTATGTGTTAGTTTAACTCACTCTATTATATTGTTAGTATGAAAAATTTCATCCCTATTGAAACGCATGGCGAAGGTGAGGTGGACATCATTTGATTTTAAAGGAGGAGGCTCCAGCGAGAAATGGCCCACTACGACGGAAAACCGAGCTGGGAGGGGATGATCCGACAGTAAAAGATAAGAGTGCGTCATAGGGTGGGGTTTCTGTATTAAGCCCGTCTGTTGAAGATAACATGATGGATAGCCCGTAGCAACGCACGGCCGTTCTGCTAGTATTTAGCAAAGTTATAACTCAGCTGCTCACAAACTATATGATGTCAGACTACACAAAACAACGACGACGACGATGATGATGATGACGACCACGAAGAAAAAAGAGAGACAAATGTATTTTTTATGTTGGTAAATACTTCTCCTTTATTGTTAGGTTAGTTAGAGTGGTACATACTTCTTTCCTCAATGTGATACTGTAATTACCCAGTAAGCCCTGCAAGGTAATTTTGGGCATTGCAGGGTGAAAATTGAACTACCGAGGTACACAGAATTTATCCCCGCTCTCTAGAGTTGAAAGTTGAAACAAGAATAAAAATGAGACAGCACAGCTGGCCACTCAGTGGTAACACATGACACAAGGAGAAGAAACAGTTCATTCCATGCAGTAACAATTATATAAACCCTTATGGCAGAGGCTGTTCCTTGGCAGATTAAAACAGAATGGATTGGATCTGAAGCTAACACATCAATGGAGAGGCTGTCACATGCTCCCGGTTAGATCTAATCTCGCCTTTCTCACTGCCAGGAACTTAGTTTAGTTACTGCCCCTTTGTACTTTTGTGTCAAGCAGATGGATTATAATAGTAAAAGGACAGCAAATTTTCGCAGGCACGCAGATCTAGATCTACCTTCCAACTCCAAATTCCCATTGGTAAATGGGCAGTTCTGAACCACCAGTGCAGCAGTACTAATCCCATAGAAGATGATGGGACTTGCAGAGTATTTACATTGGAATTAGAACTTCTATTTGCAGTGTTGGTTGTTTCACCCCAAAAGATAGGGTACATCCTGCTGTTTTTTTACAGTGAGGAACAGAGTTGCAGAGATAAATGACCAATGGCCTGATGTATAAGTAACTCGCAAGTAGAGGGTGAACCATCCATGAGTACAAAGATCAGACTAGGTATACGAAAACAAAATTACCAGAACAGACTGTAACCATAGGGTACTGATAAGTAGTTACCACATACTTTTTTTTTGAAGAATAAGAATTCATTTTCTGCATCTTTGCATCAAGAGGAATGAAGAGATAGCAAAATGTTTCAAGTCCTCTATCTCCACCGTTTACACAGTGAACAATTTTCAAGGTTTAACCCACATCATCACCTAGATCTACCAACCTTAACTTGTGTACTAGCTCCATTATTTGGTATCTTGATGCATATGGTATCATCAGTTTTGCTGACAAGTTCCTGAATGCTCTGCTATCTTTGATGCTTATGCATGTAATTCATAGTGGTATTTAAATAGACCTATAGTTGAAACTTGAAAGGCATCTCAATGTATCGCAGAGATATTTTTATTAAGCGAAAGCGATTAGTACATCACGTGAGGCAGTGGACTCTAAGGATACTTTGCCGCGTGACTATCGACCCACACATCGATATTCCATTTGCTCGTAGGTCCCCATAGACCTGGTGTGCCTATTGGTACTCACGTGTCTCATCTTGTGATAAAGAGGGTCTATTCCATGTAAATATGTAAGTAACCATACTTTTTTAGATAATGAGGTAATCATATATATACAAACTAAAGGGAAAAGATGAGTTTAAAGGCCAGGAGAAGCAAAGGTGGGCAAAATTCAAACAGAAAGGGAAAGCGGGGGAAGGGACTCGAGAAAGGAAATATTTGAAATCCAGCTTGCAAATAACGCCTATAGGAGCAAAGATTGCATTGTCTAATAGTTAAAATGGTGCTAGGGAGAGAAATCGAGAGGAGGGGAATCTAGGTATGAGATAGGGAGGTGGTAGAGCACATGGAGGGGTAAAAAGACCATGAAGCATACAATAACACAAGGACAAGGTTAGGCATCATGTGAGAAGGAGATGGTGGAACAGATATGCATAGGTGATAGGTGTCATGGGGAAGAGGTGGCCATTAGTTTAACTCCAAGCAATTAAGAGCAGGCATGATGTGTATTAGCAATAAACAAGTGGTGTTAGTGCCTTAATTGGTGGTGAGGAATGAACAGAAA